TAGGTCCGGAACAATAACCAAAGTCTTAGAACTCCACTCGACAAATCCAAACGCCTCTCTCGATAGGTTGTTGAGTTGCGTGACACGAAGATCACACCATTCGAGCGACTGACTCGCCGTATTCCGGGTGTGACAATATGTAACGAATGCGACGTATGCGACTTGTCCCACCATTTGTGTTCCGGGAGGAACGTGACAAGTTAATCACGTTACTTATCACGATTTTCCTTCTTTAATCCCTCCTTCACAATATGCCCTACTCTGGGGTTCAGAGGCTGGTATATTGAGTTTCACTGTTAGATACAAAAGTTATTGGTGCTTCACATTCAATAACGGTATTATCCAGTATACTACGACTAGTGATGGGCATGCGCGTGATTTTTTGGATCCCGCGCGGGATTTTTAATATGATCACCAATTCAGGCCAGCCGGCCCGCATTAACATAATTTTAAGAAACTCACGATGTAATCCTATCCCGCGCATCATGCGCGGATCACGCGCGTAACCCGCATCCCGCGCGGGATATTTTGGGAAACCGTTATTTGCCCATCACTACTACGACGGTTGGGTTTGCCACATGACTTGAGTTGTTTTTAATATAGAAAATAACTTTAGTTATTCGGAAAGTCCTATCATAGTGGGATACCGGATAATATAAAATATACGGCAATTTTGTGCTAGTTTTATATAGCTTGATTTTTGCCGTCGCGTTAGCCTCACACAACCATTTACACAAACTAAAATAATAACAATAATCCCGTTCATTATTAATTAAAGTACGCTATTTCATAACTGAATTTATTATTCAAAATTAAACATAGAATTTGTAATCTTAAAAAAATAATTATATTAAATGCTAGCTAACTAGCACATATCAAAAAATAAAAAAGTTTACATTAACTATTTGAATCTTGTTATAGTATCCGCTTTCAACTTATATTTACAATTAAATGTCCTTAGATAATATATCTCCAATTTGGATGCCTATCACACAACACTTCATCAAAAATCGGTTCGTTTTCCACCAATTTCATAGCAATTTCTCTAATCCTTTTATTATCCTTCAAATCAATATCATTTAATTTATAATTATGATCAGCTATTATAGCCAAATCACGATTCTTATTTATTGATTCCAGATAAAATTTTAGTCCAATAGTTATAATAGACGCAATGATCATTGATGCTAAGCATATTGAATTTCCCATAATGAATGAGGGAGCATCACTAATTGGAAATATTAGGGTCCCGATAATTCCTGCAATATTAGCTAAAGCTAATACCATTGCGATCATTATACTTCGCTTATATTGACCGACTATATTTTAAATTTAATAGGAAAATTTTTTATATTAGAAAATATATTAGCAGATATTCATATATATTGTATTTTTTGAAATTAAAAAAAAATAAAAATAAAAAAAATAATATATATATATATATATATATATATTAAACTAACCAATATTACACGTGCACCAACTGAAAATTATTGGAACAACAGAGTATGCCCCACATGCCAAAAGTATTGTAAAAAAATATCTTAAGTTATATAAACTAGGATCATTGGCGCGCGTTGCTAATAATCCAACCAATCCAATAATGCTAACAAAATTTCCAATTAATATATTACAACTTCTTGTCTTGTACTTATCAGCAAACCGGGAATTAATGATCATAAACACGGTTGAAGTAAGAAATGGTGGTATGACCATCAATTGAGCTTGTAAATCAGTAAACCCAAGCTGAAAGATTAAGGTTGGAAGGTAAAAACTGAGAGAAAAGAATGGGATTGAAATAATTAAAAATAATATTTGGTAAATATAAGTTTGAATATCAGTTAAGGCAAGTTTTATTTGAGCTTTGGCGGTGTTACGATCAACTTTAGCAGGACCACCCTCAGATTTAAGACGTTCAACAGCTAATTCACGTTCATCAGGAGTGAAGAAACGAGCATTTTCAGGACCACGAGTCAAAAATAAGGCAACAATTATGGCCAAAAGAATAGCTGGGAGATTTTCAATTATAATTAACCATTGGAAACCTTTTAATGATCCTTGTATTTGGACTATGAAATATGACTAAAAATTTAATAAATATCATAATGTATTAGTAGTGAATTTTATATAAATGTCGTCAATTGTGTTAATAATTGAAAACTTACAACAAATCCACTAAAAGCACCACCCATGGAGACTAAAGCCATAAAAATGGAATATCTTAAGGTTAATTCTGACTTTGAATAAAATAAATTAACATATTCTACTATTGCCGGGGGATATCCTGCTTGAGTCATTCCTGTATTAATAAAATAAAGTTATCATATAAGAAATGAATTAACATTATTAAATATTAATATAATAAATTTAACTCTATTCGTAATTCTAATATAATACTAATTCGACTTTTAAAACGCTGAATTACCATGCAAAGGTACCCATATACTTTCGTTCACGTGATAAAAATTTGTTTACATTTGGATATGGCAGTGAATGAAATTATAATTTATAATAGCCAGGAGAAGTACAAATTAAAAGGTGTACTTTGCACGGTAATTTATATAAACTTGATCTTAAATTCTAAATGTAACAAAGTAAAAAAAAAAAATGAAATTATAATATTAACCTAAAAGAAATCTAACGATGCCTAATTGAATCGCGTTTGTACACCAAGCTTGACTCATAGATACAGCTGCCCAGCATATCATCATGATTGGCAACCAAACCTGTAGCCCTAAAATCTTTGATACCAAGGTTGAAGGGATTTCGAAAATCAAGTAACCCAAGTAATATGTTGATATAGCAAGAGTATATTCCAAAGGAGTGGATTGCAAATATTTGTAATCGAACCCCGCTATTGCAGCATTTCCTACACATGTAAGATCGATGACACCCATAAGGTATACTATGGACAATAGTGCTAAATAAAAGAATATTTTATAATGTCAAAATACAGGACGGATCAGGAAATTAACTATATGAAAGAAGTTGTCATAATTGAAACTTACGTAAAATGTAAATATCACATTTTCTAACAATTCTTCTCTCTGAAATTTTATAACTAGTATTTTCTGGTTTATGTGAATCATTTTCGCGTTTTTCTCCAGTCGGCATATTTTTATTCTTTTTTCTTTATTATTTGTATATCATTCAAAGAAAGCAAAACTTTCTGTAATTTTTTTTCTGGTATTCATTGAGTATTTATCATAGATCGGTGTTTAATTATAATTTTTTTCATACATACAAATAAACAATCAACAAGGTGATCAGTTGCTATTACCCTATTTTGTAATATAGATATACTGTACGTACACAGACCTTAATACGTAAAAAACTTAATTAGGAAATATATATTCCGAAAGAAATTTGTTTAACATGAAACTTATTATTCTGGCTCTAGACTAAGTAACTTAATTTCGAGTTACAGTCATTTGATAATTTATAAATAACCAATGCCATAATTAAGTGTGACTTATATAATAAAATACTAGATTCTGATTATATAAATGTTGTATCAATTGGTTCGTTCTTAGTTCTCCCAAGTTCTTGTGTATACATTCTTACAAATTTACCTATATGAAAATATGCATAAATTGTATGTAAAATTTAATAAGGGATTGATTTAGACTCTATATTCTACAAACGTACGAAATGAACGTGCGTACGTGCCTACATATCAGACTCGAGACTCCTGTGTGTTTCGTATATGTGTACCTGAAAATAATAATTAGCTATATATACGCTCTGAAAGTATATTCCAGTTACCTTGATATAGTTTTGTGTATGCGTTTTGTTAATTGTTATGTTTTTGTTTATTGTTTGTTGTGTAACTGGGATTATACTTTCAGGGGCTACTGTATGTACATTGGTTTAAATTTCTGCTCCTCTAATAAAGGCTATATCATATGCTAAGCTTTAGTGCTAAAAAAATTTGACTGGGTGATACATATTAATCATCGGTTTGGTTTTTATCCACAACATACTTCTCTAAGACTGGGTTAACGAATAACCAAGACAGTTATGTGTGCTGTAATTTAATGTTATGCTTTGGTTGTAAGAGTTGAATAGTTTAAATTTAAAAATCGAAGGAGGTATTAGTATTCCTGTATGTAAACGTTAGGGTTGTTAATTTACATGTAAATTATCAACAGATGTAAATTTTTTTTATCTGACGTAAATTACTTGTAAGCCATATAATTGATAAGTTATAATTTTTTAGCAAACTTTTAAATCTTCGGATTGTTTCCAATGAAAATTGTAAACCTTGATCGTATTTTAGGTTCATTTATGGTCTACCTGCTCATATTTTAGATTCATCTTTAATCTACCTCTAAATTCTTTCGTAAGTTTCTAAAGTAGGGATATTAATAGTCCAGTCTGGTTCAGTCTGGTCTATTTTGGTCCAGTCCTGGTCTGATCTATTATGGGCTTTAGTCTTATACCTTGTTAGTCCAGACCGGTCCAGACTGGTCTGGTCTTAAGACTTAGAGCAGTCCAATTTTTTTCGGTTTTAGACTGGTCTTAAGACTAACCGTGGTCCATTAGTCTAAGACCGGACCACATAACATACCTAGTTTCTAAAAATATTTTAGTTATAGTTTGACCTAATTCTGCCCAAATTTATTCATAATGCTGGCTTATTTAATATATTTGTGTAACTTACATAAGTGGGCATGTAATTGTATTTACAATTACATAAATTTACGTAATTTGTATGTAATCTTAATAAAGTCTACGTAAGTACCTACGTACTGTACCTATAATATTATAGATACTAGCGTTATATTTACCTAAGCTTCTAAGAAAAGTATTGTAACACTAATGATTGAGAGTGGAGTCAAATAATCTTCTGGTATGATCAGCTAGTAATAAATTGCAATTTTATGTAATGTAATATGATCAGTAAAATTCAAAACAAATATTTATTTTAAAATCACCTGTTTCTCGAAAATTTGATTAAGAAACTGTTTTTTATGCTCTAATAAAAAAAAAAAAAATAAAAAATGAACTTAAAATTTTTATCAGTTATAAAATAAAAGATTAGAAATCATATATCTATCTCATCTTTAAACCAGACTTAAGTTTTCTAAGTAAACTTGAAGTTGTTGTTCTGCTCTATTCAATTTATATAACAAAGTTTATATTTAGAAAAACTTTTAAAATAAGTTAAATTAGCCAAATTTCGTTTTTTTAAACAAAAAAAAAAAGTAAAATAAGCTTAGAGTAATGATTAATAAAAGTAATATAAGTAATAAAAAATAGTTTTTTTTTTTGGTATTTTTATAACACATATTGTATAAAATTTTTTTAAAAAAATATAATATATAATAATAATAATAATATACCTTTTGATAGTAAATTTGTACAAAATATTATTTAAATTTATACAAAGTATATTTAAATTTGTACAAAATAATATTTAAATTTATACAAAGTAATATTTTAAATTTGTATAAAATAATATTTAAATTTATATAAAGTGATATTTAAATTTAAATAATTTTAATACAATTTTGTTTATCTTATTCAAATAAACAAAAAATTTTAGATTATCATAGTTTAATTAAACTTATATTAAATATTCTTTTATATAAATTTAAATATTACTTTGTACAAATTTAAATATCATTTTATATAAATTTAAATATTACTTTATACAAATTTAAATATTACTTTATAAAAATTTAAATATTATTTTGTACAAATTTAAATGTCACTTTGTATAAATTTAAAAATCATTTTGTACAAATTTATATTCAAAAGGTGTAATACTTTTTTTTTAAAGAAAAGCTTTTAAGGTTTAACATAAAATTTATATATAAATAACGTATGTAAACTAGTTGTTAAAGTTTTCTTATTACTAGAATAGTTGTTGCATAATTCTATAGAGATCATGCAACATATCTATAGTTTTAGTATTTATATTTTAGATTACATATATAATATAATATAGTATCTAAAAAAATATTGTAAATAATGAAAGATAAATTTAATAAATAAGTTGAAGTTAATGAGGAATATATTATTTACTTTATTATGCATCTGATGACGTTACCTTTAAATTTTTAATTTCTTCGATTTCATTCAAATTTCATAATTTTTTATTATTGAAAAATCATAATTTGGTTGGCTAAACGGCATGTGACATTGATTTAACATGACAAAATTACTAAAAATTTTACTAATCAAACCACGGCCACCCATTAAATAAAAAACAATCCTGGTGTAATTTTACCATAGACACGGCCTATTTTCTACAATTTCCATTCTTAGAATAAAAATAATCTCCGGCCAAAATTATAAAATTACGTTAATACAGGCCAATGCCACGCATTTTTTGTGCGGTGTAAAGGTCTAATTTGACCCTCCGGAAATACTGCGCTCCGACAAAGTACGATGTCCTGTTTTTAATTTATAGTTAAGCCTGTTTATAGTACAAACATGTATAATTATTAGATTAGTGTCAATCCTTACCCGTAGTTAGTCTAATTGGTATGCCGAGATGGTGGATTTATCTAATTTATCGAATTAATCGGCATTAATTTAAATTACTATTTGAGGAAAATCAGATTTTTTAACAATATCAATTAAATTCCAAATGTATTTACTAATATCGCGAAAAGTATAAAAGCGATACCTCTTTCCTCAGCTCACTGCGAGTTCAATAAAATAATCTCAGATTTGAGAATAAAACCCCCTTTGCATAAATAATCCCCGATACCACATTCGTTAAATCCACAATTATATACAAACTGACCTTAACCCTGATAAACCCGGACCAAATCCTCCACGCCCTCTTTCTGCCTTCCAACATTAGAGTTATTGTTAGTTTAGTGGTAGGTTGTAGAGATTAGTTTAGCGGTGAGACCATCGTCCCGACCTACACTCGGACCACGGATTCCATTTCGCCCCTCACAGCGGTTCCTAGGATCGATGCCTAAGAAAATACTGCGGCTCCGACGTTATACGATCCCGGAAATCCTGGTTATCCCAGTGACCTCAGTTATATTAGATATTCCCAATAGATATTAGTGATATTAGAGACATTAGATATATTTGTTATCTTTGATATTTGTATTATCATTGATATATCCGTTAAGAGAGAAAAGGTATATGAGCGCCTCGAATTTTACTTCAACAAAGATAACTAACTCACGATATTTTAAATAATAAAGCGTTATAAGTAGTGATGGGCATGCGCGGGATCACGCGCGCAAAATGCGCGTAATTTTTGGATCCCGCGCGTAATTTTTAATATATTCCCTAATTCAGGCCAGCCGGCCCGCATTAACAAAATGGGAGACTTGAAGAACAAGGAACCCAGTAATCATCACATCATGTGAAATTATGCAATTACGTCATTTGTTTACTAGCACTAAACAAATTAGCCTAAACTATAATATCACCTAACCCTAACACTAACCTTAACGTAGGCCGAATTCTTAATCATGTGATGTGATTATCATGAAGATATCACTGGGTTCCTTGATCTTCAAACTTCCCATTTTTTTTCTATTTTCTAGTTTCCATATTATTTTTATCCGGTGTTACCTGATGGTAACCTTAATTTTCCGGTATTATCCGATAGGAAAAAAAAGACCCAATTTTTTGATTCTATGTAATGTAAAACGAAAATCAACTTTACGTGGCCTTATATAGTATTCCTTTTTATTTTCCGCACAGAATAAGATTTAAATTGTGCGATATCCGCGCAGTAAATTTTAATTGAAAAATTAACATTGTACGTAGTGATGGGCAAATCGCGGTTTTCCGCGCGGGATAGAGATCGCCTTGTGGGTTTCTTAAAATTTTGTTAATGCGGGCCAGCTGGCCTGAATTAGGGAACATATTAAAAATTACGCGTGGGATCTAACTAATCAAGCGTATTTTGCGCGCG